CATGTAGCATTGTCACCAGAAAATACCAGACCAGGTCCTAAGCTATGGTAAAAGAGGAAGGAGTTCTAAGAGTACATGAGAAGTTAATCTGGTCATGAAATATAAGCTCTGTTCTTTGCATTAAATAGCTTACAGAACAGACATGTATGTACCAGAGCTTTCCCTACCTTTGTACAGTATCAACAAAAGAAATTAATTGTTTCTCACTGTTAATCTTTCTTCAATTTCTACTAAAAATGTTAGACCTGAGGACAACTGTTAAGTTTCTATGTCCTTCAAACTCCTCAACACAGGCAGCAGAGTCCTCTCTGAAATGAGTGAGATACCGCAGTACAGTTACAGCAATGATTCTCAAGTTACTTCCACAAAGACAATTAACAAACTATTGCTATCCAATGTAAGTTAAATATTAATAGAAATGCTCATCAGTCCAGGAAAAAAAAAGGGGGGTGGTGGTGATCCAGAACAGTTCAGAAACACATGCAAAACAGGTACTTACTAACACTTTTTCTTTTGGATTTTCTTCTCTATAATCCAAACAGTCTTGCTGTAGCTCCTTTAAATCAGTAAGTAGTTCAGTTGCCTGCCTCAAGGAAGATTTCCTTTCCTGTACCTCAGCATATTCTCTTTGTAGTTGTATCAGTTTCGGTTCAGCTCTGAAAAAGATCAAGGCTCTGATGACTATATTTGCATATTTATTTCACGAGTAACTATGAACATATTTCCTCTGAAGAAGACTTAAGGGAGAGGTTGGTCAGAAATACAAAGCATAGGTTCATAAAACCTACTGAAAAACTAGCATATTATTTAAACAGGAGCATGGGTCCAAATCCACAAAAGAACCCCAAACTTTTTTCCACATCGCACTTTTGAGTCTGACCATATAGCCACTCTCTCTTAAGCACTTAACTTTTTCAAGTGAAGTTTCTTAAGTATCCAGTGTTCTCCTTCCGCACACCCCTGCTGCAGGCTGAGGTGTTCAGTGTTTATGCTGAAGCATACTCAGGATCTACAAACTAGATATGCCTCTGCTTAAGTAAACTGGAGGGCTCAATATGTTCAATTAGCACTCCAAAACCTGAACACCAAGAGCCATTTTCATTTAATAGTGTTGCAGCAGCAAAGCTTTCTTAAAATGATCAGATGATTAAAACACAACAGATAAAAAAAAGTGAAGACAGCTTTCAATCTGTGCAGGAATTCCAACCCACGTTGAGGGATGCCTTTAATTATTTATTTGAGTGAGGTTTGTCCGTAGTACTGTGAAGAAAACAAGACCCTCATGGCCACAGTGAAAGGGCTTTTAATCTGCCTTTGTGGATCCAAGCCCCTGCTTCCCTACAGAGTTAGCATGTATGTTACATGCAGCTTCAGTATAAAGCTTGCCACTAGCAACCAGCTGGATTTGGGGAAGTCTAATGGTTCTTCTGAAGAACATAATTTCTATGTTGTATATCTAACTGATACTTAAGATTAATGGCAAGGTAAGAGAAGGGGAACTGTGTGGTCACATGAGATGGAAGCAAGCCATGTATTCAGAAGCATTGCTGACATATCGGAGAGGTGAAATACATTCTCCTACCTCAAAAAGACAAAGGCAATACAAAGGGCTTTTTAAAATTTATGATTCACCACCTTTGCAATTCCAACTGTAACGTTAGTGTTTTTCTTATGAACGTACGGTCTGAAATACTATCCCAGTTACCAGTTAGCTAAGAGAACTTGCAAAAATGACTAGGCAACTGAAATATGGAAATGAGAGGTTATCCTGAGCTGTTGTAAAAACAGAAAGCAATACAGAACAGAAGTATAGTTTCATGAAAATAAAATGAAAGAACAAAAAAATGTTACTTTCACTTCTGAGTTATAAAACACCAGACTCCTTAAGTTATTGAGGCTATTATTGTGCATCATTAGGAACATACCTAATTAGCTCTTCTCTGAGTTGAAACAGTCGCTGCCTTTTCTTTTTGATGTCTGTTATTACCTGCAATAAATAGTGAAGGAAGTCCTTGACATGGTTTCTGTAACTTCAAAGGCAAACAACTCAAATGCAATTGTGTTTTTTTTTTAGTTTGAGGTTTTATGCTTCTGTTTCTGGGTGTGGAAGAATCCAAGATAACAGACCTCATAAAGTGCCATATTTGAATTTGCATTTTAGACATTTGAAAGAGCTTTATAGTGTTAAACTCTCATCTCCATCCAAAATTTATCTTAAGGAACACTGGATTTACAAAAGGAGTTTCTGACATTTTGAACTCAAACATGATCAACTCTGGCATATTTTTGTTTGCTTCTGCTTGAAAAATGCTGAGTAATATAAATGAATGCTCAGCATGATTGCCATAACTAAGGAACTAAGGATAATTAAGCATTCTTTAATACAACATCAAATTAAAAGATACCCTAATTATAAATCTAAATTTAGTGAGTACAAATCTGATTTTAAACAAATGTATGAGGCAAAATGATGATAACTTGAGTGGCTGTGAGTGCTCGATGTATATTAAAATTTTCATTTTACATGCAGAGTAGCTTACCATATCTCCTCAAATTAACAAGACTTTAGCATGTCAATTGCTACCTCCCAGAATAAGCTTTCTGTTGACTTGTTAAAAGCTATTTTGTCATCAAAAAGTTTGCAGAAGAGATTAATCTGGGCAGAAAGCCTCTGGCAGGCAGTGTCTAACCTGCTCTTAAATATCTCTGCTGAAGGGCATTCACCTCTCTCCTGATGAAATCCCTGCAATGTTTTTCTGCTCTTACACTATTTTCTTTTCCTGTTGACATTCCCCTGTTGCATTTTCAGTCAATTACTACTCACTCTGAATGAACAGAGGAACTGCCTTCCTCCGAACAAAAATCTTGCATACGCTGAGGGAACGCAGCTTCCCTTAGACTTCTCTCCTTTAAACCAACCAATCTAATTCTGTCCTCACAGGTCACCATCTGTGCTGCTCTCCTAAATTTTATATTCATCTGTTTCTTGAAGGTTAGCTCTCAGTATTTAATTGGCTCTCCAGAGGCTTCACTGGTGATCATTAAAGAAGAGAGTGATTCACATGTACAGGTACCCACACATCCCAATGTGTACTCCTTCTTCTTATGCCAGTATATGTATGGAGTTTGCAATCCATCGTATTTCCTCAGATCTTTTAAAAAAACCTCCTATCCTCTATTTGTGCAGTTGATTCTGTAGTACAGTACACTTTTTTTGTGAATGATTTTATTTCTTTTAGTCAACTTTTTAAAATTTCAATGCCCACCTCTGTTTGCTGTACAGTCTAATGATAGCATGTCTTTCAGATATGTATTTACCTTAGCATTTTTTTTCTTCATATTCTTTAATTCCTGGACTTCCACTATCTGCAGAAGAAAAGAAGAATTACAGATTGACTATGGAGCTTGATTTCATCTCTATCCTCCTAAAAACACGGTTGCAAGAATTACTTTGGAATAACATGAAAACCTATTTCAAAAAACCAACACTGGTTCAAAGGAAGATTAGAAGTTTATCAGTTGTGTATCAATTCTTTCCTTTCTCCTCATGCCAGAGGAAGACTGTTGCACAAAATTAGTCATCTTGCACCAGTTAGTACAAGTAATACTCCTTGTATCAATTAGTGTAATAACTACCTTGCTTAATTTTTCTATAAGTTTGTGTAAAATGTATAAATCTAATAATTTTTAAGCTTGCTCATTCTAAAGAATCACTTAGAACTATAGTTTCAGTACTTATCATTGCACTTATCACAACTCCCACAAAGTTCTGCGTTTATTTTACTCGTAATTACTGAGAACTCTTAAGACTTCAACGTAATAAGCTTTTTACAGTTAGGTTCAAACTGTTAATTAAAAAGGATGATTTTGCCTGAACTATGTTATAGATCATAGTCAGGCCTCTACATGACAGTCACTGAGACACAGTATAAAGATTAAATCATCTACCTTTTAAAACTCTAGTCCATGCGCTTTTAAAACAGTGTTTGACATAACTGTTCCTTCAAATTATGCAGCTCTCCAGTTTTGCTACGTAATGCTTTAGATATGACAAACGCTTCAGGATTATTAGATGCTTCCCTGTTCTTAAAAGCTGACAATTCTGCAACATACTTGCATGGCAGCAGTGTTGTGTCTAAAGGCAACTCTCATGAGAGCCAGTGTGGAGGCAGTAAATCATAACCTGCACATAACAAACTGTGTTTTCATATTATTTTCCTGACAAGAGATTAGAAAATTTGAAGCATCATAAAATAAGTGTGTAAGGGACAATATAAAACCATAGGCATTTTGACTATAATGTAAAATACAGCTCTATAATCACTACCACAAAATTGATTTTATTTATGGTGTACTTACAAGATCAGTGATTTGGTCTTTGAAAGCAGAACAGAAGCCACTGATAGCTTTTCTACAAGTGTTTGATTCTATGCTTTGTCTGGAGAAGTCAGAGGGACAAGGCACAACACATTTGGTTTAGTAAAGAAGAAGTCTCATCCAAAAACATTCCATTGAGTAATGAATAAAAACCAATGTTAAGCAGCTAGTAGCACAGGCAACTAGGGATCTTTCATGTACTAGCAACAGCTTAATTTCTACATTGAAAAACATCAGCTGAGATGTGTTGTTTGGAAAAATATCATATGCCTGGAGATCCCAACCTCAAGATCACATACGAGAAAACTATTTGTATCACAGACACCTAATAATAATTAAAATACCATCAGAATGTAACCATGCAATACTGCATTCCCTAAAGAACAGTCCATTAGCAAAAACGCAGGTCACTTGTTTTTGAGACGTTGAGTATACAGCCACAGGAAAGCAAAATATTTACCTGTAATTTGCTGCTCTCTTCTCAAATTCAGACAGAACAACATCCAGTAATGTAATATCTCTAGGAGATCTCTTTAGCTCTTTGGGACACCACATCTGTACAGAAGATGGGCTATCCACTGAAGCAACAGAATAAAGACAAGCATTGTACAATTCAGGTACATGTTCTGAAATAACAGAAAAGGTATTGTGCCCACCATTAAAATAACCATCTAAAAATTATGAATATTTTAACATGGAACTTGAGAAGAGGGATATATGAATAATTTAATCTGTCTTTGGCTGAGCAACTATGGTAGACATATCGGGGAACACTTCAGAATTTGGATGATCAATCATATACAACTTATTTTTCAGTCTTCATTTTTTCAAGCAAGTCCAGGAGTACATTAGTAAACTAACAGATAAGCTATGCAGGGTACTGTAGATACAGCTGTTTGTGCTGTAAAAACTATTGGCCTAAGTCTGGGCAACCTGCATTGCTCAAAGCATCATGAGTTGCTATATCATATTTGTAAACATTTTGTATTAATACCATATGTGCTTTTAAAAAAAGATATATACAAATATGTTTATTTAAATTTTGCAATAGTATTATTAACTAATTCCACAAAAGTTAAACCATGTTTCTGCACACACTCCCAAATGTAAAACTAGTACCCAAATGTGATGGGGTACTATTCAAAGGAAACAAGACGACATCTGAGAAACAGTTTCTCTCTACTGAAAAGTGCCACTGTCTTGAATCTCACTGTCTCAAAGGTCTTCATACGAACAGCTGTGCTTACACTGTTAAGTCAGGGCGCTCCAAGCTCTGCCCCACAGAGCTGCAGGCTTCCAGACCAGGGATGTACTGAAGTATCTGACAGCTCCATACCCATGGACCCAAGCTTCCCTCCAAAGGCAGCCAGGCTGCCTGTGAGAGAGATAATACACACCTGTGCTTTACCCCTCCAGGGGAGTAACAGGCAAGTCCAGGGATTAAAACCATGGGGATCAGAGCTGCATGGCACACCAGCTCCTCACTTTAACCATTGCTGATGAGCATCTAGAGCAAAACTGAAACTAAAACCTCCCATTTCTAGAAGCAGTATGTTGGTACATAGCTGAAATTAAAACTATTGGGTTATGGAAAAGCATTCACCTTCAATGAGGAAAAGGTATACGGGAGTTTTGAAAAGTCTACTTTACCAGAAGGATCTGGCGGGTTCTCCTCTGAAGGCGGCTTCTTTTTCACCTGTGACTGAGTAGTATTCGGAGCCTTCTGTGATATAAAAAGCAGATTAACTTCCAGAAAGACCCTCCTAGGTTCACTCACTTAAAACTTCTGGACTGAGCCTCATCTATACACTGGGCATGACATGCATGACATGGAATAGACCATTGATCAATTTGTGTCTCAATCCTAAACCTAAGATCAAATCCTAAGCTATTAATTGGGGCTGTGCCCCCTCCCAGCTTCTCCTGCACCTGCAGACACCGGACCAGCAGAGAAGCTGAAAAGTCCCTGACTGTCCTGGCAACAATTATAAACATCAGTATGTTATCAGCCTTCTTCCCAGCACAAATCCAAAACACAACCTCACATTAGCTACCATGAAGAAAATTAACCCCATCCCAGCCAAAACCAGGACAGGTATGAAGTAAGTGAAAATTAAATTCACTGATATACTCATGGAACTTTTTCTGTACCACATTCTCCTTAAGGGGTTCATCTTCAAGATCAGCTGTGTTGAATTTCTGAACATCACCATCAGAGGTTTTTGAGCGATGTGTTTTTTTACTAGGAAAAGAAAAATATCCACATGTAAACCCACTACACACTGAGAAAGAATGATCTTCAATCATATACACAACAAAATCTTGTGTTTTGGGGAACATTTTGTATTGCTATGTCATTTAGTTTGCATTTCCCAAACAGACTACATAAAAAGTTGCAAATGGCATGTAATGGGAACAGAATCTTTACTCTGCAACAGCAACCCTCACAACATTTTAGAAATCCATTCTTAACTAACCACTGGGATAGCCATGTTGTATTGTGCAGAACCTTTGAAACAGAGACAAAATTATTATGGAGGATATTTTATCAGGAATGGAGAAGGCTTGCTTGGTGGGAGGGCAGAGCTGGAAACCAAAAACAATACACACTCTCATACAAGGACTATTATTGTCTTGCTGTTTCATTCAAATAAGAGCTATTTCAGATTTAAAACAAATTTAACACATGAGAAATACACTACAATTTGTATTAAAAGATTTTTAACATAATTTTCCTTGTTATGTATAATTTGACTGGTTTCTACCTATTTTTCAATTTTTCCACTTTTTAACTTTAAAGACATCAGCATTTAGAGAACCAATCAATACCTCACAGAGGTATTTTAAAATCCTTTCAAATGAAAGCAATACAGTAAGTACTTAAACCAATGTACTGCTTACAGAAGGCAGAATCTAATTTATTCTCCCATTTCCTTTCTACATTCTTCAACCTTACTCTTTTGGTTTCTCATCTGAGAAATTTTAAGTGAAAGCATCTGTTTAATAAGCAACTAAGGAAACCTGACAAACAGAACATTTTCCCCATTTAATCTAAAAATCTAAAGATAAAATTTAATGCCGGCAATTATTTTTTCACCAGACCTTCTTTCTGTATCTTTCCTTTGTGGAGCTGAAACACGACCAAGTGACTCGTTTTGTGAATGTTCCTCTCCATAAGCATCCAGAGCAGTACTGTGCAAAGGGTGATCTATAAAGAACAAAAAATAAGTCATATGAAAACTGTTCCTATCTGTTCAGGCAAAGAGCATGGACACGCTAGCACTGCTTGCCATTAAGCATTTAGTCAGAATAGTTGTGGTTTGCTCACTAATACAGAGAAAGTATTGTTAAAAGTATTATTTGAAGATTACGAAAAAAATACATATATAGTGAAAAGCTTCATAGTTTCTATACTCATCCACTTGCTATTTATTTACAAACCAAAACCAAAGGTCCATGAAAGCTCAGCATGTACATATGGCATAGAACAAGCAAAACATTTTGTACAGTTTTTTTAAAGGCTCTCTTTGATATGGCATACATCAATCTTCTATACATTTAAACAACTACTTTCTAAATTTTACCATTTTTTTAAATATGGATTTTTATCTGCTTTATTGTATGCTGTAAGAAGGCAGTTACAGCTGCTATAGAATGTTTGTAAATGTAAAAGTCTTGAAGGTAGCTACCAAAATAGATTAAAACTCTAAGAACTTTCAAGTTTTAGTATGCCTTTCAGTGTATGTATTTCTTTTCTCAAACACATTGTCACAAAAATTTAGTGGTATCTTACATTAGTGTTGGTAGGCATCCTTTTTATAGTTTTTGATACGTACCATAGAAATGAGGAAAAGAAGAGCTTTTCATACTGTAGACTTTGCCTTATGACAAACCTTCTGCTATACTGTTCTCTGTAGCTCATTTTGAATGCTGTTTCCAGTAGTTACCGGTATATTTCCATTATTTTCTTAGAGTAATAACTATTATAGCTGAGAAACAGCTCTTAGCATTTTCTCTACAATTTCTAATTACACAGTTTTTGAAAGATTTTTCTTACTGACGTTGACATGTAAGCACTATATATATATCTAATAACAGAGGACTTCAAACAGGGACACCTATTCCATATAAATTGATTCTCTTCCAGTACACTAAGGCCCCATTGCACAACTCTCATACAGGGCATGAAAGTGGTGTTTATGCTTCAGCAAAAATAGCATGTTTTTATGATGTTGCTGTTTAAAGTAATGTTTGAAACTGGCAGAACATCCCCATGAATGTCTTAAGTTTGCTGTCATGCATCCTGTTACACTAGCAAAAATTTCACTTCATAATTTGTGTAATTTAATAGAGAATAATTTAAGATACTGAACTTTCATTTTCAAATGTAAATTCTTACAGAATTGCAATGCTACGTTGTGTGAAAGTCTACCATTCAGACTATCAAATCTGAATAGCCAGTATTTTTCCATTGACTTTTACTTGCACATATTACAGCATTATTCTTGTTACTTCCTAAATAACAGAAAACAACACCTAGCTCAAAAAAACTCTCTCTCCTGCCCATAACTTTCTCTGTCAAAGAAAAAATACCTATTCCTAGGTAAGTGTTGAAATATTTTGCCCATACGGTTTGTTCATGAAAATCATACATTACATGACATTGAAGTTAATACTAACCATATGAATCATCAAGCTCCTCAAGCTGATTTGCCTCCTCTGCCTTCAATATCCTTGAGACATCTGGTTCCTCAAGTGGAACCAATTTCCAACGAGGATGGGAGCTGGCTTTGCGTTCCTGGAAGAGTATGAAATTAATAGCTAGTTTGTCCAGCTTTTTGAGTGTAAAACAGATTAAATATGACAATGAATTTAAAAAACATTTGACTAGAAATACACATTTAACTTGGACTATATTGACTACCAAGCTATGATATAAAGTATTTGAAGTATATGTTTTTTTCCTCAAGCTATGGTTTTTTTCATCAAAGAGAAGTGATGGTGTGAAACAGATATATTCTGCTATTTGATACTATACTGTAGCATCAGCTTTATCTTATTATATAAACCTAAGTGTATAAGCTTAGAAATCTTATAAAAGTCTACTATCTGGTTTCTATGACCTGTGGCTTTTTCTTTTCAAGCATCAAAATATTTCTTCTTTCATCTCTATATTACACGAATTTCCATCTTTGTCCAATTTAACAATTCTCACTTTAAATGGATAAAAAATTATCCGTAACTTCTTACAAAAGGTAGACTTTATAAGCCAAGTGTTACACAGACACTTCTGTAAAGCAGAAGGGTAGGGGAGAGTGGTGCTAGTTTATGAGACGTTTGTCAACGTGTCATTCACACTGTAAGTGTGGGAGTGAATTTCCTCACTCGTTTCTGCGTGTGTGCATAGAAAGGGGATTACAAGAAGAAAACACCGACTTCCTGAGCTTTTAATTTTACTGGCACTTTGCAGCACCTCACAGGTTTTGCTATGGTGCTGAATATACACACATCAACTATTTAATCTTTAAGCTGTTCTCTTTAATTTTACAAGACTATTGTCAAATGTTTGCCTGTTAGAAAGTCAATGGCCCACTTTGCCTGATGGTGTACTACTCCTAAAAGAAAAACAAACAGAAAACCAAACCCCCCGCGCCCTGCAGGGCTGCCCCCGCAGGGACCCCGCAGCCCCGCTCCAGCAGCAAGGCCCCGCGGGGCACCCGCCGCAGCAG